GGCCCTTCTCGGCGAGGTCCTGGAGTCACTGCGGGGGCGGCTTCGCGGGGCGTCCGGCCAGCTGTGGATGCTGAGCGTCCTGGTGGATCTGATGGGGCGCTACGACCTCTTCCAGAGCGGCCCGCTCGACCGCTTCACGCGCGGTCTCTGCGAGGGGGTTTTGACGGAGTCTCGCCGGCTCTCCTCGAGCGAGCTGGCGAAGCTCCTGCAGAACATCAGCCGGCTGAAGCAGTGGGAGGTGATCCTGCAGGTGGACGCGCGGATGGGGGGGTCCTTCGACCAGGTCTTCCGCGCGGCCTACGCGCAGGCCGACCCCCACAGCCGCTGCGTCGCGGTCAAGGCGATGTGCGCGGAGCGGGCGTTTTTTGTGCGCTACGAGGACTACGCCATGGGCTACCTCCGCCAGGACATCCACCTGCTCTCCCACGAGGATCTCGAGGGGCTGCTGGTGGCCTGCCTGCACCTGCAGAACACCGCCGTCGTGGAGGAGACCCTCGACGCGATCGGGACGCGGCTGATGGGGGTGCTGGACCAGTGCAAGCGCAGCACCCTCGTGCGGCTCCTGCAGTGCCACGCCAGCTTCGCGATCGCGGACGACGCCCTCCTCACCCGCGTCCTCGCAGTGCTGGAAGGGCAGTTCGTGAGCCGCGGTGAGGCTCGGCTGGAGAGCTCGCAGCTCCTGACGCTCCTGCAGTCGATCGCGCAGCTCGACCTCCCGGTCCCCGCGCGGCTCGCGACGCTCTGCTTCGCAAAGCTCGAAAGGCAAATCGACAAGCTCTCCGCCTACCAGCTCGCCCAGGCTGGGTTGCTCGCGATGGAGCTCGAGATGGGTTACACCCCGAGCATTCACACCCTCGTGGTGCGAATCCTGGAGACCCGAGAGGGCTACCGTTCCAGTCAGTTTTTTCGGGAGGTCTCCGAGCGACTCTGCGATGAGTACGACGTCGAGGTGCCGGCGTTTTTGCGAACCGCAAAGCTGCGCGCTCGCCGCGAGCGGGAGCGGCTGGAGGAATACTGGAAAAGGCGGCGTTTGCTAACTAAAATGTGAAACGCAGAGGCATCCTGACCCAAGGACTTCGGATAAGGAATTACTTTGAAATCTCGTATTCACACAATCCTCACATCACAACTCTCTTTTTGCTCCAATCTACTGAACGTTTCCTTACACTCTTCGTCAAGCGAGCGACATCCTCGTCATTGGATATATTCCTAAAGCGTTTTATATATCCTTCCCGAAGTATCTGCCTTTTTACTTGGTAAAACTCTGTCTAATCGATCCTCTTATGTGGAATGAATTGTAATCAAGCGATATATATATATATATATATACATGCATATAATTATCTCCTTTCTCTCTATGTCATCCCTCTATCCCTAGTTTTCTCATTCTTTTACTTCAACATCCTACTAGTTGGTTAGGCTAACGCCTGTGATATGTCACTCAAGAAGCGAACGTCCCCGAACAAGGTTCTAGATGAGTCGCAAATTCTGATCTCAACGAAGCAGTATGATATTGAGCTTATTTACCACGCTAATCTCTCGCAAATGAAGATTGTCTCGTTAGGGTCAGCTTTCCGACGCTGCCATGCACTTACCGTCCTGGATCTCAGCCAAAACAAACTTCCCTCGCTCAATGGGATTCAGGCTGTGGCTTCTACTCTAGTTTTATTAAATGCGTCGGAAAATTGCATTCAAAACCTGACCCACCTTTGTGGGTTTGGTCGATTGGAGCGTCTTTGGCTCGAAGGGAACCAACTCAGCGATAGAAGTTCAATCGCCCCACTGGCTGAACTGAAGACCCTAAAAGAGTTATGGCTGCAGAGGAATGCCCAAATGGGGTTGTCGTCAGACGATACCTCTTGCGTGATGATCGACAACCCAATCTGCTTGGATTCCAAGGCCTACAGTCTTGTATGCCGCGAACTGCTTTCCCACGTCCATTCGCTTGATGGAATCATTTATCGACAAGATGTAGGGGAGGCTACCGCCGCTTTGGACAAGGTTACCTCAATAGATGAGTGCGTAGCGAGTTTTAAGAAGGCTTGCGAGTCGATTAAGACGGAGGCACTTCGAGAAACTAATGAGGAATCTCATCTGCTACGGCTTCTAAAGGCTGGTTCGATCTGAAGTCGTTAATCCCTTTAAAATTCATTACTAGGGGGAGTGTATAGTCTTACGAGTTTGCTTTTCGAATCTACATTAAGTAAATAGATCGTTTGTTTATCCAACAAGAACACACATACAAAAAAAAAAAAGGAAAAAGTGGCGTGATGCCTACCGAAACTAGAGAACGGGAACCCCCTCCACCTTTGTCTTGCTTTGATAAGCGGTTAAGTTAGTATAATGGTTACACAAAATTATGCAGAAAAATAACATCTTTTCTAATTTTATATCTATCTTTAATTTTAATTTTACGGGTATAGCGTTCTCTTCCCCCCCTTCTCAAGCAAAAAGGGAGCGAAGAAGCACGAAAACAAACTAACCAAAACAAAAAATAACAGCTGGCCGTCATGGATGCGGATCGCATCAACAAGGGCGATTATGTCTTCATTAGTGGGAGTGGCGTCCAACGCATCGGGGAGGCCAAGGAAGGGGTGCGGCTGAGGCTCGATCGCTGTCGGTTGGCCTTCACCGGTGGGCTGGTAGGGATGCACTACGGCGAGGTGGTGCGGCTGAGCCCGCGCTCGAAGTGCTTCCGGGCCTGCGCGGACTACCCCGACCTCGACCTCAGCGGCGTGAGCTCCACCGGCGCCCACGACAACCGCGACCTCGTCTGCGATAATCGCAGCCAGCAGCTCACCAAGGACGAAATCGCGGCGATTCGGCAGGAGAAGGGCGTCGAGACGCTCCTCAGCTCGCTCGTCGAGCACAGCGTGACCTTCCAGGGCAAGACGAACTTCTCCAAGGAGAAGTACCTCGTCAAGAAGAAGAAAAAGTACGGCGAGTTGTTCAAGGTGCAGCGCGTGACAGCGGCGAGTATGTGCGAGGTGCACGTCCCCAGCATCGCCCCGCCCTGCGAGGCGGCGGAGGAGTCCCAGTGGGTGCGATTGCGCGCGGACGCCGTCGCTCTGATTTTGCACCACGCCGACATCCATGACGGCGCCCGCGTGCTCCTTTTCGAGCGCACCAACGGCGTCATCCCGGCCTACCTTCTTGAGCGGCTCGGCGAGAATGGAAAGATCTTCCAGCTTATGGAGAAATCCGCGCAGCCGAACCTCTTTCCGGCTTCCCAGTTGGGTCTTCGGGAGCTGAAGCGACGCTGGAAGGCGGTTCCAAACAACGAGGACTTCTTCAAAGGGAAATCAGCGGACCAGCCGAACAACGACGGGAGCCAAACCGTCTCTGAAGGGAACCCAAGCGAAACCACGTTAAACAGCCCCACCAATCCTTCCGACGCCTCACAGTGGATGAAAGGTTTAGATGCGCGGCAAGAGCTCTTGGATCGACCCGCGGACTCTCTTATTATTGTGGACGACATGAACGCCGAAAGGCAGTTGACGTGTCTTCTGCCGTTTCTCGCTTATGGCGGGCATCTCGTGGTGTATAGCCCCTTCACAGAGGACTTGGCTGCATTATTTCCAAGGCTTCGGATGGACTTTGTGAACATTAGGATCTCGGAAACGTGGTATCGGCATTATCAGGTCATCCCACAGCGAACCCATCCAACGGTGAACATGAGCACCGCCGGGGGTTATCTGCTAACAGCCATCAAAGTTGAGCGTAATCCGAATCCCGTCCCTCGTTATATGCAGGCCCAACCTCTCTTTGACAACAACCGGGAAGGTGGATTGCAAAACAGAAAACGGGATCGTAACTCCGAGAATGACTGCAGTGAATGATAACTTCATACTAAATTCGTCAAAAATGAACAGTTTAAGTTTGTAATGGTATCTATACATAAAAAGGAAGATTGGACACTTTCTTGGCGAGTAAATAAACGTGAAAGATTACCTTATGCGAGACACCATACGGGGTTATGTATTTTTATTATTATTACCGATAGATAATGAAACTGATTTTTTTTCTTGACCCATGGGTTTTTCTTCATGGTTTTTTTCAAAACACAAAAAAAGTAAACAAATAGGAAAAATCCTACAACTTTTATATTTTCCAGCGATCACTTGTTTTTATTCTAATTACTACAGATTATATTAGGTTGAATATCCATTCGCATATTCTCAATGATTTACGATACAAGCTCTCCTCAGTTCCAGCAATTCCTCAAGTCCAGCGGTCGCCGTCGCGACGACTATGGAAAAGTGAAAGGCGCTATTATCAACAAGCAGACATCTAAACCAGCAGGTGCTTCAAGCACAGGATTGTAAAGCTTGATGTGGACTATTAAATGGATCTAGTTTAATAGGAAATTTGCATACATAATTTATAACAAGGGTGTTGAGTTCTTAACTGACAAATGGGTATTGTTCCCTCTAACTGCATATCATAAATGAAGGATTCGTCTGATAACATGCCTTTTTATTAATTTAATTAATCATGTGTACTTTTTTAAAAATGTTAAATATACTAGTAACTACAGCATTTCCATTTTCTCTTTTTATGTTCGAACATTAGATCTTTTCATAAATAGTATCAGATTAGTTGGAGTAACTATTCTTCACTGCATCTACTTCATGGACAAAACAAAAGAGTTATTGTATGTTCGAACAAAAGATATTTATTACAAAGGCGAGTTTATGATCAATCTTGCACCGCACAACATTACTAATAGCGTGGCCACCCCTAACATTGTGGGGCTCTGTTAGCGTTTCCCTGCTTGCAATCTTTGATGTCAACATCCTCCATCGCTTTTTCTCAGCTTCGCAGCAGGAGAGGAAATACTGAGCAAACATCTGAGTTTGACTGTAAATAAACTAGCTTCCAAGTGCATGGCAATCGTTGGGCTCAGGAATGACTGTAATGTGCGCATCCTCAACGAAAAGTTCAACGTGGACAACATAATAGTAAAGTGGAACATTCGCACCACCCTCCCTACCAATGAACGAAGGAATATAAATCATCGTGCGATCTGAGCTTTGAAATTTGAATATTTGTCATGTAGTAGGCGATTATTAAGACGGATACTACTGATGCTAATCAAAAGCAAAGCCAAAATCGACTTCCAGAGAAAAAACGTAGGAAACTCCAAATCTTGGTTCGTGTATTCACAAAAGTCGTAAATAAAATGGATTCGTGTCTTCACCATAAAATTATCCACTCTTTTTTTATCATTTGATTTATTTAGCCCACACTCAACCTTCAAAACATGCTTGTGACACTTCATCACATTTTTGCGATTTATTCCTATTCCCCTTTACTTTTCTGGAGGACTTAAATGGAGAGGAAAAAACTGTCTGGGTTGTAAAGTTGGGGGTCTAAAGTATGCTCTTTAAAGGATACAGTTTCTGCTTTATCTCTGCACTTCAATTAGCTGAAGCCATTCTTGACTTTTCAAAATAAAAGTACATTTTTAATCTTTTATTCTTCTCGTTCTTATTTTCCCAACATACTTTTTTTTCTTATCCATATTGATGCCCCTGTAGTGCTTCCTTGAGGCTTTTAGGCCTTACATGGCTACTCTTAATTTAGTGCTAAAGGGTCATGTGCAGCGAAATGTTAATACTTTGGATCACTTACGGAGCGATGCTGGAAAACTCCAGTCGTATGGCCTCCGGGAATCTACTTTTGTAGAAATCGTACCCAATGTATACCTCATCGCCACCATAGACCGGCCCAAAAATCAATGTATATTGGAATTGATTCACCCTGTTTTGTCTTCGAGTTCTGACTCTAAGTCAAGCAATAAAGGCGTTAACATCACAAACCGCGGTATGTCATCCTCCACGACTACCGGATTGCTTGAAAAGGAACTCAGTAACCTCGAAGGCATTCCTGCTACGTTGTGCACTTCTTTTCGAAGCCTAAAGTTGATTCGACTCATCACAGCCGATGAAGGGGAGATTGCATGCATTGAGTTGGCCTCTGAGCGTGCTGTCATTCAGTCTGATCGCCCCAATGCCGCGTCAGTCCGACCCCTGAATGTAAAGCTACTGCATTCCCCAAACGCCGTGCCCCTCGCAGGGGATGATCGCGGGGCCGTCTCGGGGGCTTCCATTGACGATCTATTGGTGTACCTGTTCATTGGAACTTCAAATGGCACCGTGCTGGTTTGCAATGCCCTTCGTGGATCCATCTTGATGATCGCGCGGTTTCAATCCTGGCCCCAAAGCCTCGACCCCGCGGCGTCGGAGTTGCGTAGGGCGCGAGACCAGTCCCCTCAAAGTGCGCCGCACGACGCCGCCGCGGCGGTCGTCCGCTTCAACGTCCAGAACCCTCCCAACCCCTACCACTGGAGCCCGTCCAAGATCGTTGGTACGCACACGAGCTCTACCATCAGCGGGGTTTACGTCATTCACGCGGACGGGAAGGTCGCTTTTCTAGGTCGCGCAATGCTGGATGCCTTTGCGGTGGTGATTCTAAAGGGGCTGGATGGAGAGCGGCCGTATCTTCCTCAGAGTTTCACAGGGGACGCGTACCCCGCGGCGGGGCCGGCCACCACCGCCGCCCCCCCCATTGAGGACATTTATGTCCTTCCCCCCATCGCAAATTACTCCGCGGTGGAGATGGCCACTGCCTCCACGCGCGCAGCGGGCCCGAACGTTCGAACCTCCGCGTCACGGCGGGTGGAATCCCGCAAAGTGCTCGACGCGGCGATCTTTTATACCACCGAGTTCGGATCCCTCGAGGCGCCGTTGCAGGAAGGCCTTCAGGTCACGGAGGCCTTTGTCCTCTGCGGGCGCAACCCCGCGTTCGCGATCTACCCCCTCGCCACGCCGGGGAAGTCCTTCTCGGCGCGCGGCGCCGTGCAGGCGGTCACGACCCTTCTCAAAGGCGCCGTCCGGGGTCTCTACGCGAACCCCTTCCGCCGCCCCGCGGAGCCGCCGGAGCGGCCGAAGGCGCTGGCGCCGCGCCGCCTGCGGGACTCGGCGGCCTTCCTGGAGGCCGACAGTGCCTTCACCCGGGTCCTGGTGGACCCCACGCAGCAGTACGCGGCCTTCTACACGGCGGGGACCGGGCGGCTCTACCTCGCCGACCTCCACACCGGCGTCGTCTGGCACGTCCTCAAGGGCCAGCGCTCCGCGCAGTTCCAG